ATTATTATTTTAGTTTTGAGACACAGAGAGAGAGACAGAGCATGAGTGGAGGAGGGGCAGAGCAAGAGAGGGAGACACAGAATCCAAAGCAGGCTCCAGGCTCTGAGCTGTCAGCACAGAGCCCAATGCAGGGCTCGAACTCACAGACCACGAGATCATGACCTGAGCTGAAGTCGGACACTTAGCCAACTGAGCCACCCAGGTACCCCCTCACTGTAGTGTTTATATTTCTTCTGAATGTGAGATAGGGCTGCTTTTTATCTGTTTAAAAGTCTTCGTAATATAAACTATCTTTTAAAAACTGGTTATGTCGGGGGCGCCTGGGTAGCTCAGTTGGTTAAGTGTCCAACTCTTAATCTTAGCTCAGGTCATGACAGTTTGTGGGATGGAGCCCCTAGCCCCTGCTTGGGATTCTCTCTCTGTCTCTGCCCCCTCCCCCTGCTTGCACTCACTTGCTCAAAATAAATAAGTAAACTTAAAAGAAAAACTGATTAATGGGAAAATGTTGGAATTATGAATGACTCACAACACCTTAAGATAAGTAAATGTAAATGGTAAAATATTTAAGATTTTTTATATTCCTTAAAAAACAAGATGATCTTGGTATTCAATTATTCTAATTAATAAACCATTTATCATAATGTCCTTATATAAGTATTTGAAACAATTTTAGAATTATAGTTACTTTTCATCTGGACTACTACATGGCTTCTCATGTGATTTAAATATAAGCTATTTAATATTATTAATAAAATGTGATAATGTTTATATATATCCTAAAGTTGGGTTACGATACTAAGGTGAAAATTTATAGGTGATACCACTTAACTATTCTTTTTTCTTTGGCTGCAACTTTATTTAAAAATTTTTTTAGAAAAGGTATGTATTTCTCCATGAAAAAGCAACTTATTCTTGTTGTTTCAGACCTGTAGATATCTGGGCTTTAGGTTGTATGATCATTGAGATGGCCACTGGAAATCCCTATCTTCCTAGCAGCTCTGATTTGGATTTACTTCATAAAATTGTTTTAAAAGTAGGTAGGTACTACTGAAATATACTGTTAAATGCCTGAAATAGATATTGCCAGATCACGTCTGCTTGATATTCAGATTCAGTTTTTTCTTTATAAGAACAGGGAAGCATAGGGGCGCCTGGGTGGCGCAGTCGGTTAGGCGTCCGACTTCAGCCAGGTCACGATCTCGCGGTCCGTGAGTTCGAGCCCCGCGTCGGGCTCTGGGCTGATGGCTCGGAGCCTGGGGCCTGTTTCCGATTCTGTGTCTCCCTCTCTCTCTGCCCCTCCCCCGTTCATGCTCTGTCTCTCTCTGTCCCAAAAATAAACAAACGTTGAAAAAAAAAATTTAAAAAATAAAAAATAAAAAAAAAGAACAGGGAAGCATATTGTTTTGGTAGATGGCAGCAAGTGGAAGCCTTGGGCTGATAAAGAAAGTAGAAAATTCTCTGTTTTTGTAAATAATATTTTCTTTGCTAGGATGTAAGTAGCTAAGACATTTGCTAATGATTGATAGTAAGAAAAATAGTACAGTAGGAAACTACTTCAAATTGTCTGAAAGTTGTTCTAAAGTTTTGGCTTCTACAAATATTTGCATCTCTGAAAGAGGACTTTTAAATAATAGAGTTGATTTAGATGTCTTTTAAAGTAGTTGGAGATAGAAAGTTACTGAGAATTTTTTTTTTTTTAGCCACAATAAATAACCAGGTACCTAAATAACTTATTCAAAAATACATTTGCTGAGGGGTGCCTGGGTGGCTCAGTTGGTTAAGCGTCCGGCTTCAGCTCAGGTCATGATCTCACAATTTGTGAGTTCAAGCCCTTTGGTGGGCTCTGTGCCTGATGGCTCAGAACTTGGAGCCTGCTTCAGATTCTGTGTCTTTCTCTCTCTCTGTCCTTCCCCTGCTTGCACTCTGTCTCTGCCTCTCTCTCAAAAATAAATAAACATTAAATTTTTATTAAATTAAAAAAGTAATTAAAAATACACTTGATGAGAGCTGAATTATGATGATCTGCCTTGACTATCCAAACATTTTGATGGTTAGCCTTGCTCATGGAGTTTCAATGATTTGTTTTTTTATATATTTCTGAATGAGGAGTTTGAGGAGCCCCTTTTGTGGTAGAGAGGCTATACATAAACATGTAATTACAGATCATGAAGAAGATACTGTGAGCAACCATAAAAATCATGAAATCTGGATAAATATTAATTAAAGATTTAGTTCAGAGTCTTAGAGCATCATACTTTTTTGGGTCATCTTTAAAGTTCTCGTTATTAGATTAATGTTAGAAAAAAACCCTAGAGATGATAGGATTACTTTTGTCCTTTTACAGATAAGGAAACTGAAGCATAGAAAGGAAAGAGATTTGCCCAAGTGCACAGCCCTAGTTATAGCAAAATTGGCGCTAGAACTTAGCTTTCTCCACTGCTGTTTATGGTTCTTTCCATTCTACTACTACTCCATAGCCTTGTTTCTTCTTTGCAATATTGCTATTTCTAAATAATTTAGGTATTTTAGCTGTTTTGAGTAAGGCTTTGCTGACGAACACTTGTTAGTTAAGCTATTTAGATGCCCATATGGAAATATGTAAAAGTTTGCGCTTTTCTTGATAGCATCATATATTATGTCTTATAATTTGGGAAATGAAAACGAACCTGGTGGTTTTAAATTTTCTACTGCTTACCTGCTATCAACAGATTACTGGGGAAACTTATGAACTTTTACGCTGTATTCAGATAGTGCTTTCTTCAACCTTAAAAAATTAACATAATTGTTATTCTCCCTTTTTAGTAATTTAATGCAAGTCACATAGCAATTTATTTTGATTTTAGATTAATTTCCTTGCTTTCTTATACTCATATTTTTTTTTCTTTCCAGGCAATTTGACACCTCATTTACAGAATATCTTTTCCAAGAGTCCCATTTTTGCTGGGGTGGTCCTTCCTCAAGTTCAACACCCCAAAAATGCAAGAAAAAAATACCCAAAGCTAAATGGATTGTTGGCAGATATAGTTCATGTAGGTTAAGAATTAAGGACATATTTTGGGGAAATTTGCATAAATTATAATACAGTTTTAGGATATTACTTTAATGAAATTCCAAAAGGATTCGTAATGTTAACTGTTAACAGTCACTATATTCCTCTGTCTTTATGTCTTTAGTCCAGAGAAATTAAGATTCATAGACTATAAAACTGAAAGCTCCCTAGGATAATCCTATCCATTATTTTTAGTTTATCCCAATTTTAATGATAATTAGGGATAAACTGGAAAAATTCAAAGGACTTGCAGTGTTTATCACCACCTTTTAACAGCCAGTCTACCCAAGTTAGGGATCTGTTCCTTGTACACTGGTATCGTAAGATATCTACAAGGCATTGGCAGCTGCAGTTTTAATTTTATAAATTCACCCTGAATTTGAAGAAAACAAAAACATTATACTGTATAGCACTTTCTAATTATTTTAAAATTTAAATTTTATTTTAAACTCGGTAATAAATATGCCAATATACTCAGTACAAAATTCAAAAAGTTAGAGAATTTACTGTGGAAAGTTAAATCTGCTTCTGTTTATTTTTTCTATCCAGCCAATTTCCTTTCCCAGGTCAAATGAGGTATCTTATTTCTGATGTATAGCCCTTTAAAAAAAGTGGTTACCTAAATTTCAAAGCAAATATGGTGTAGTGTTTATCAGAAGGGGCTCTGGAATCACATAGACTAAAACTCAGCTGTGTCACTAATTAGCTCTGTAACCTTGGGAAAGTCACTTAATCTCTGTGCCCCAGTTTACTGGGCTATAAAACAGCTTTAACAGTCTTCATTTTCTGGGGCTGCAGAATTAAATGAGGTAATGGTGAAAATGTTCTGAGCACAGGGCCTTTGATAAACTATCAACAAATGTTAATATTAATTGTTGCTTTTGCTATTTAGGTAAACTTACTAACCGTATGATATGTAACATCTAAAGACTATTTTTAAAGGAAAAAATGATTTCATTGGTATCTGGAGAGAACTAGAATTTCGTAAGAATCAGATTTATTTACTACCTTTTCAATTGAATTTATTTTATATATCATAGTTTTAATTCTACAAAGAATACGTAATGATTATAGAAAAAGTAGAAAATACATGATAAACAAAAAGGAGAAGTTAAGGTTTTCCCACAATCTGGAAAAATTACTGTTGATATTTTGATTTACATACTTCTAGGCTTTTGTCAACCAAATACATGCATAGAAATTTATGCTTTTTAAAAGATGTCATACTTCACACAGTGTTGTGTGACCTGTTTGTTATGTAACCATCTCAGTAAATATGGAACTATATCATAATTTTCAATGGTTACATGGTATTCCACTGTATGACTATAATATAGTTTGTTTAACTGATCCTACAATTTTGAACATTTGTTTTCAGGTTTTCTCTGTCACTATTGGTAAAGATGCTTTAGTGAATGTCTTTTATTGAATTAATTAATTAATTAATTAATTTTGAAATCTTTATTTATTTTGAGAGCAAGAAAGTATGAGCAGGGGAGAGGCAGAGAGAGGGAGAGAAAGAAACCCAAGCGGGCTTCCCACCATCAGCACAGAGCCCAGTGTGGGGCTGGATTCCCCTGAAACCATGAGATCATAATTTGAGCCAAAATTAACAGTCAGATGCTCATGTGACTAAGCCACCCAGGCAGCCTAGTGAACATCTTTTAAATATGTCTTTTTGAACTTATTTTATTATTTTTTAGGATAAATTCCTAGAATTATGATTAGCGGGCCACAGGGTTTACACTTTTTCAGAATTAAAAAAAAAGATTTTTTTTAATGTTTATTTTTGAGGGAGAGACTCAGTCAGAGACAGAGCATGAGTGGGGGGGGTGGGGGGGGGACAGAGAGAGAAGGAGACACAGAATCCAAAGCAGGCTCCAGGCTCTGAGCTGTCAGCACAGAGCCTGATGTAGGGCTCGAATCCATGAAACGTGAGATCATGACCCGAGCTGAGATCGGCTGCTTAACCGACTGAGCCACCCAAGCGCCCCATTTTTCAGAAGTTTTGATATATTGTTCTATATTTTCCCCCAGAAAGGTTTTACTGATTTATACTCAAGTACTCCCAAGCAGCATTGGATATAAATTCCCACTCTCAATCTAACATTGGATATTACAGTTTTTAAAATATTTGCCTATTTTTTATTGTTTAAAAAATGTTTATTTATTATTTTAAGAGAGAGAGAGCATGAGCAGGGGAGGAGCAAAGAGAGAGGGAGAGAGAATCTTAAGCAGGTTCCATACCCAGTGTGGAGCCTGACATGGGGCTCGATCCCACAACCCTGGGATCATGACCTGAGCCAAAATCAAGAGTCTGATGCTCGACTGACTGCGACACCCACATTCTCCTATTTGCCTATTTTTCAAAAGTAACGCCTATACTCAATGTGGCGCTCAAACTCATAACCTCAAGATCAGGGGTCACATACTCCACTGACTGAGCCAGCTAGGCATTACAAAATATTTGCCGATTTAATAAGTTTAAAATAGCATCTTTTTTTTAGTTGCAGTTATATGATTACAGGAAAGGTTGAATATATTACCTTTATTATTAATATAATAAAATATAAATTGGCCATAATAATGAAAAATTATTAGTATATAATATATAATATAAATCTATAGAAATAATATAAACAATGGGGCGCCTGGGTGGCGCAGTCGGTTAAGCGTCCGACTTCAGCCAGGTCACGATCTCGCGGTCCGTGAGTTCGAGCCCCGCGTCGGGCTCTGAGCTGATGGCTCAGAGCCTGGAGCCTGTTTCCGATTCTGTGTCTCCCTCTCTCTCTGCCCCTCCCCCGTTCATGCTCTGTCTCTCTCTGTCCCAAAAATAAATAAAAACGTTGGAAAAAAAAAAAAAAGAAATAATATAAACAATATTTAAGAATGATTAAACTGTCAATTAGACTATCTTTTTTCATATAGATTTGTGAAGTAATAAGCATATTAGTCTTTATCATATATGTTGTAAATATTTTTCTTCAACTTGAATAATCCTGTGACTTGGTTTGCCACATTTATCATAGACAAAATACTTATACATGCTTGGGTCTGTTTCTATTTCATTGATTTCTTTCTTTAGTCTAGTGTAAGTACCAGTTTAATTGATTATTGTAACTTTATTTTTGTTTTTAATTACTCCTTCCCACTTTTATTTTATTTTAGGTTTTATTTTTAAGTAATCTCTATACTCAACATATGACTTTAACTCAGAACCCTGAGATCAAGAGTAACATGCTCCACTGACTGAGCCAGTCAGGTGCCCCGACTATTGCAACTTTAAAATACATCTTAATATTTGGGCAAAGCATGTATCATTTCCTAGATTTAAATTTTGTAAGCAACTTTATTGTGACATAATTTATATACAGTAAACTACACATACTTAAAATTTGCAATTTGATGAGTTTTGATAGGTGTATACACCTATGAAACCACCACCACAATCAAGATATCTAACATTTCCATCACCCTACAAAATGTCCTTTTGTCCTTTTACAATCTATCTTTCCCATCATTTCAGTTCCCAGACAACCTCTGAGTTGCTTTCTGTCACTGTAGATTAGTTCACATTTTCTAGAATAAATGTACATGGAATTACATAGTATGTACTCTTCAACTCAGCATTATGGTTTAGAGATTCATTCATGGCTTTGTGTGTATCAGTAGTTGATTCCTTTTTATTGCTGAGTAGTAGTCCATTGTATGGATCTGTAGCAATTATTAATCTATTCCCTTGTTTTGGGTTGTTTCCTATTTTTGGCTGTAATAAAATTGCTATGAACATTCATGTATATGTCTTTGTGTAGATGTATAGTTTTATTCTCTTGAGTAAATATCTAAGACTGAAATGGTGGGTGGGTTTAAGGTATGTGTATGTTTGATTTTTAATGAAACTGCCAGTCTGTTTCTCAAAGTATCATATTTTACATTTTCCAAACTAGGGCATAGATTTAAATTTTCTGGTTATATTATTCAGAGAAGGACTAATTTAGTCTACCTCTAATAGGCTATGACTTGGGAAGACTTTTTAACATTTTTCTTAATAAATTTTATTGACAGATTACTGTTACACTCTAAAATAAGTATATATTTTTAACTAGTTGCAGTTTTAAGGGTATGGGTATTCCCGCATCATAAAGTGGATAATGAATTCAGTTTTGCTTTGTGACCCAATATATTTTTATTACAGTAAAAAATGCATAATATGAAATCTACCCTCTTACCAAATTTCAAAATGTATAGTATAGCTATACATTAGCTATATTCTTATTGTTGTATAGCAGATCTTTACAACTTTTTTTTGTGAGTCACTTTAAACATACATATTTGGACATAAATGAAAAGGTAATATTATATTCAATTACCTTCGTTTTTCTGGATTTTAATTACACTTTTATTTATTAGATCTTAGACAAATTGATTTCTCTGGGCCTCAGTCTCTTTATCTGTGCAATGGGAGTAATAATATATACCTTGTAGGGTTGTTGCTGGGATCAAATAATAGGAAAAAGCTAGGTGGAGTGTTGTGTGGCACACAGTAAACATCAATAAAAGTTACCAATTATTATTATTCTTTGCCTTTTTTAAAAGGAAGAATGAAAATTATGATGCAAATGAATTTTATTCAAATTCTATCATTAATATTTTGGTAAAAATATCTTCTATTTACAACCATATAAAGATTTCTTATGTTCGACTTATTTTTAAATGATTAATTTTTAAAAAATATTTATTTATATTTGAGAGAGATACACAGAGAGAGAGACAGAGTATGAGCAGGGGAGGGGCAGTGAGAGAGGGAGACACAGAATTTGAAGTAGGCTCCAGGCTCTGAGCTGTCAGCACAGAGCCCAGTGAGGGACTCGAGCCCATGAGCCATGAGATCATGACCTGAGCGAAGCTGGATGCTTAACCCACTGAGCTACCCAGGCTCCTTTCAACTTATTTTTAAAACTATTACTTCTATCACCTGTTTTTGTTTTGTGGGTTTTTTTTTTAAATCTCTATTCAGTTGAAATATTCTCAAAATAGGGTAAGAGAAAAGAGCTGTTCTTATAATGGATTATTGAAAGATTTGAGTGCTTGAAGGTTTGTGAAGTCGTATTATAGGAAGAGCACTGGATTAGGATTCAGACAATGAGTTAAAATCCTCATATGGTAAATCACTAATTATGCTTCTAGTACTGTAAAAGGGAAATAATAATCCATGAACTTTTCACCTTATGGTGCTGATAAGAGGATCAAAAAGAACAAATTAATTTCTGCTAATTGCAGCTGAAACAAACCGACTTCTGTTTTGGCTAGAATCATAGGACGTTTAACCTGTAATAATGCTTTACAAGTACAAATTTCTTAGGGAAATAAATGGTCAGAACTCACTGTCAGAAATTTCTAAGGTCTAATTCCATCTTCTTAAGAATCTTTTTAGCTCTGGGTAATTAGTTAACTTCTACATAGGTCAATTTAATTTTTACCTTATAGAGCCCTGTTAGAAACTTATTAATGTTAGAATCTTTTTTTTTTTTTCATTTTCTAGGCTTGTTTACAAATTGATCCTGCTGAGAGGACATCGTCAACTGATCTTTTGCATCATGAGTATTTTACTAGAGATGGATTTATAGAAAAGTAAGCATGTCGAGTGATTATGGACTTTATAGTGTTTTATATTAGGAAGTTTTAGTAGCATGAGAATTGCTGCATAGGTTAATGTTACACACACAGAAAATTCAATTTAACAAAAACTTTACTGAGTTCCTCGCTATTGACTAGGTATATGGTAGGCTCACAGGTGTTACGATGAAAATTGTAATAAAAATAATTGTAGTTAACATTCATTACAGTTACTATGTCCTAGGCAGTATGCTAAGCTCTTTACACACATTTTCAATGGCAATTATAGGCCAGAAGATAGTAAATAAACAATCAGTACTGTTTAACTTTATTCCCATTTGGACCTCTGACTCAGAATGGTCTGGTTTTTCCTCTTCTGACAGCTTCTCTGATCTATATGTTATAGTTGGCATTTATTTCCCGAATGATTTTTTTCCCTCTGCTTTATTTATTCTCTATTGCAGTCCCTGTTGTCATATTCTCCCTACCAAAATGGAAATTTCTGGAACGTAGGGACCATGCCTCTAGTCCTTCTGTGTCCAACATTGTATATGTAACATATAATGACAGTGTATATTTATAAATCAGCTGTATTTCTTTAAAAGAAAACCCACTGTTTTCTATTTGGGCTTTGAAAGAAGAATTTTTTCTTTAATTGCAGAGTCATTCAGTTGGTCTTTGGATGTGAGGTCAGAAAATATGGACATCATTTGAAAATGTGATGAATTTAAGATTAGGCATGGAAAGTTCCAGGAACTGCCATTGAAGATATACTATAATAGAAAAAAGCAAAGAAGAGAGAATCCTTTAGAGTACTTAGAACTTGAAGCATTTTAAGAATTTTAATATAAAATAAAAAATGTAAAGAAGGTATATTGAAAATCCATTGATGAAAAAAGTGCCAGTTATTGAATTAAAAAGTTGCTTTATATCACTTCTCCATAGACCAAGTTGATTTCTCCTGGATACTTAGATACTAGGATTTTAGCATGATGGGGTGAAAGTTCTTGAATTCCAATGATCGAATTCTCAGAAAATGTTTGGAGAAGACCTTTTCCTTTGATAAGTGACCTCTCCCTTTCACAGAGCCTTCTGCAATGCAAAGGAGTTTTGGCAGGAGTATGACATTTTCTTATTCAGCCAAATGAATCACACTGTTTATTTTCTTCATCTCTTCACACTCCCCTTTACTAGACATGTGCCCTGCCCAGCCCTGTCAAGATTGGGTTGAACTAGGGAAGAATTTACTCATGGAATGGTATTTTAAAGTTTCCACAAACTAGGGGACACCTGGCTGGCTCAGTTGGTGGAGGATGTGACTTTTGAACTTGGGGGGTGAGTTCAAACCCAATTGTGTGTAGAGCCACTTAAAAAAATAAATAAAATAAAATTTCTCCAAAGTGATAATAATAGCTGCTTCAGGGAGGGGAACTGTGCAACTCAGGGGCAGGGTAGGAAGGAGACTTTTCAATACAGCCTTTTACGTTTTGAGCCATGTGAATGGTTTTCTATTAAAAAATAAGTAACATAAAAAAATCAAACTAAAACCAAAATCATCCCCCTTCAACATTGATGTATTCTGTTACATTTTGTACTAAAAATATTTCTCCAGACTAAGATTTCAGAAACTAATTAGTTCATCTTTTAAGTACTGTTACTTTGAAGAAACACAAAAAGGACAAAATGGTTTGGGTTTTCCTTGGAAAGAATAATACATTTATGAAAATTAAAAAAATAATTTTATTGAGTAAAGTTTTCTAAAAGTTTTATATAGTAAATTCCCATGCCAAAATTTTTGGAAGATTTATCTTTACCAGGAAGCCATTTGTATTAAATAAATATTGTACCATCTCTTGGCACACATGCATTTTTAATAACTTATTTATGCTGTAGTTAGCACGTAAATTAATTGATTAACTGGTACATTAAAGATAAAATACTTTATATAAATAAAAGATTACTGGTTGATAATTGCTTGTTTTATCAGATTTATACCAGAATTGAGAGCTAAATTACTACAAGAAGCAAAAGTCAATTCCTTCATAAAGCCAAAAGAGAATTCTAAAGAAAATGAACTTATGAAAGATGAAAGGAAAACAACTTCTACCAATACACTGTTAAGTACTCCAATTTTGGGAAAGGTAAAGACTATTCTCTTTCTGGCCAATATAACTGTATTATAAGTAGCACTCTAATGATAAAAATAACTGTTCTTCTGACTCAGATTTTGGATGTTTGGATATTTCCTATTCCAGGAAATGGAAAAAGAGAAAAGGCCCAAGGAGATCAAAGTCAGAGTTGTTAAAGTCAAAGGAGGAAAAGGAGATATCTTAGAATCAAAAAAGACAGAGTGTGAAGGTGGACATTGTCAACAGGATGCAATTGAAAATGTTCATACTATATCTCAAGACACAAAATCTATAATCAGTGAACTACCAAACCCTGTCAATCCCAGCACTAACTCTAATGGAATGAAAAATGATCCACATGCTGGAGGTAGTATGATGATGCCACCTATCAATCTAACTAGCGGTAATTTGGTGGCTTCAAATCCCAAGTCAAATCTTTCCCACTCCAAGGTGAGTTGTGACAGAAAAAGGCAGAAGGAAATGAACCTAAGTGATACAACATTCCTATATAAAGGTGTTTCAAGGAATCAAGTTCATAGTGTCTGTATATAAACTGAATTTGAGGATATATTGAAATTATAATAATAGGACATTACTGAGTGTTTCTTAAGAATGCCATAGGAGAAATTAACTTTTCTTACCTATATAGATGTCTAATTTTCCACTTATGCCTTTGGGAAAAACCTCACTTTTAAAAACAAGAGCCTCAGGATAATTTCTTCCCATTTGAAGAAGAAAAAGGTGATATGACCTAGGTTCTGGGACTGATGTGCCTTGGTATAACAAAGTAAGCATTTTTTTCTGTATCATAGCAGATTTTCTAAATGGAGGAGAATAGTTGAAAATAATCGTTTATAGTCAAATAGCCTTTGAAGATCAAGTATTTGGGGAGGAAAACAACATATTGGGCCAGTTGTAGATTTAGCTACTGATACAGATTGAAAGACTGGTACCATGAGTCTGGTTAATCAAGGGCAGTGTGATGTATATAGCAAGGGTCTATTTAGTAAGGCATCAGAGATAGTTTTAAATTTAGGGAGAGGCACCTGGGTGGCTCAGTTGATTGGGTGTCCAACTCTTGATTTCGGCTCAGGTCATGATCTCAGTGTCATGGGATGGAGCCCTGCACCAATCTCCACACTGAGTGTGGAGCCTGCTTAGGATTCTCTGTCTATCTGTCTGTCTGTCTGTCTCCTCCTCTGTCCTCTCCCATGCTCCTGTTCTTTCTTTCTCTCTAAAATAAAATAATAAAAAAAACCTTTAAATTTAGGGACACTACCATGAATCTGGGTTAGGAAGGAGACTACATTCAGCATCCCAAGCCCATACTAACAGACTGGTTTGAGCTATAAGTTGTAAAGCTCAATGGCTGCAGCAGTGGGCCAGTGGACGTTTCTGTGTCAGTCCAAAGGTACAACAGTCTACAGACAGCAAGAGCCCATTTGTTCTTGAGAGGACCCCAAAACCCTAGTTGCAATAACCATGGTTGTAAGCCAGCCTTGGAAACCAAGCTCAGAAATTCAGAAACCAGTAGTTAAGAGATCCAGATTTAGAACAAATACAAGAAACCAAGTAGGCCAGCTGGAGTGAGCCCACAACATGGTTGTTACCACTGATGTTAGCCATGAGCAAGTTGTTCTCTGCTCTGTTTTCACCAACTTCTATCAATTGGCATTTACACAATGTGATTGCATTTTGTCACTCAGTGTTCAAACTGTAGACTGCCATGATATCACTTCATTACTGAAGCTAAAACAGAAGTGCTTATGGGGAGTTCTAATAACTTTGCCTTCATTTTTAAATAATAGGTTGACTGAAAGAGTGAAAAAGAGACATACTTCTTCACAATCTATTGTACAGGTTATGTCTAATAGCAGGCAAGAGGATTAGGTACCACTCAAGTAAGGCAAGAACCTAGTCATTAAAATATGGCCTCTTTTAAACTTTATCCTTGACTCCCTCCCCATTCAATCCTTTTTTCTATATTTAGGGCTCCAACATTTTAAAAAATGTGCTTTTAGCTTTTTTTTTTTCCCCTCCTGAGATGAAAATAGGCCATCATTTCCTTAGTGCTTTCAGTTTTCGTTAATTTCTTATAATTTGATTTCTGTATTTAATGTGTGACTTGCACAAAAAAAGTTAAGATTTTCACCCTTAAAAGTCACCAGACTTGGGGTGCCTGGCTAGCTCAGTCAGAAGAGCATGTGACTCTTGATCCTCTGGTTCATACGTTCGAGCCCTACGTAGTGTGTAGAGATTAGTTTAAAAAAAAATAGAATCTTAAAAAAAAAGGCACAAGACTTTTTGGTCTTTTACTGCCCCCAAAGTGTTTTTAATATCTTATTTATAGATTAAAGGCAATTACCAAACAGACACATCAAACTTTTCACTAGAAAAATATAATCAGTGGGGCACCTGGGTGGGTCAGTAGGTACGGCATCCAGCCTCAGCTCAGGTCATGATCTTGCGGTTCACGAGTTTGAGCCCCACATCAGGCTCTGTGCTGGCAGCTCAGAGCCTGGAGCCTGCTTCAGATTCTGTGTCTCCCTCTCTCTCTGCCCCTCCTCTGCTCACACACTCTCTCTCGCAAAAATAAATAAACATTAAAAAAAAATTTTTTTTAAGAAAAATGCAATCAGTATAGTTCATTGCCTTACTGTTTTACATAGGGAAGTAGCTTATTAAAAATTGAAACATAATGTTATTTATAATAATAAAAAATGAAAACAACACAAATCTATCTAAGAGCAAGCAAGTCATTAAGCACAATATATATTCACACAGTGGCATACTACATATTACATTGTGGTAGAGTGTTCATTAACTTAGCAGATTTTTTGTCATCTGTTGCCAAATGAGTGAAAATAGGTAACACATTTCTGGAGTTCTGGGTTCTCAGGTTTTCAATGTGTCCAGAGTACATCATTTTGTAAATGGAAAATAAATTATTAATAAAATGAACTGAAGCAGTTTGTCAAAGTCAGAGTACAATGAGTAGGATTATAAATTAAAAGTTAAGATTATGCTTCTCATGATCAACACTAGTATTCTCAGATTATCCAATATATCTTTAAAAGTTTGCTTCATGGGGCGCCTGGGTGGCGCAGTCGGTTAAGCGTCCGACTTCAGCCAGGTCACGATCTCGCGGTCCGTGAGTTCGAGCCCCGCGTCGGGCTCTGGGCTGATGGTTCAGAGCCTGGAGCCTGTTTCCGATTCTGTGTCTCCCTCTCTCTCTGCCCCTCCCCCGTTCATGCTCTGTCTCTCTCTGTCCCAAAAATAAATAAACGTTGACAAAAAAAATTTAAAAAAAAAAATAAAAATAAAAAAAAAATAAAAAATAAAAAAAAATAAAAGTTTGCTTCATGAAACTTTTATTGGAATTCGATCTGTTTATGTGTTTAATGGTATTCTATTCTACTTCTTAATTATTAAATAACCTTGCAAATGTAGACCTTTTATGACTATCTTATTACCTTCCAAATGGCTGGCAATTTTAGGCTTATGATTCAAAAAATAGTTACACATCTTTTTTAAAATTAACTCTTACTTATTTGTTTGTTTAGAGCCAAATGGAGAAGGGTATATTTAATGAGCGAACAGGTCAAAATGACCAAATAGCAAATGGAAACAAAAGAAAGCTGAATTTTTCCAGATCTGACAGGAAGGAATTCCATTTCCCAGAACTGCCTTTCACGATACAGCCCAAGGAGATGAAAGGAACGGAAGGTACATATCTGTTGCACAGCTTTACAAATTTCCAGATGTTATCTTTTACAAGACCTTTTTTTTGTAAGATAGCTTACATTTATAATATAATTTAGATAGAAAATAGATTGCTTTGAAAAATATTTTCAGCTGATGAGAATTTCTTTTCTCATAGTCAAAGAAGAGGTAAGTCTTAAAGGAGATACTTTTAAAGAAGGATTAAGAAAACTTTAAAAGACAAATTTTTCAGTAGCTCAGTATTGTTGAAATGTTCGTACAATATTTGAGGAAAGTGATTTTGGTTCCGTATATGACCTGGAGTAAATCAGTTTCCTTTGTTTCTCCATGATTTTTGCCCATATAATAGCAGGAATGATATATGTGCTTCTGGCATCCGAAGATACAGTAGATTAAGATTTATAACATGCATTGAGCTCTTAAAATGAAACACATTTTTTTTTACAGAGTAAATGTTTTGTTTCTTTGAAGAACAGTGACACCTTGTGAAAAGTTATTATAATAGCAAGAATATAGTACTTGAATATAATTCAAGAGGAATTATCTGATCCACTTAATATGCAGAATTTAAAAAATAAATGTCTTCTTTTAATACCTGTAAGGCTATCTGTAAAGTGGTAAAACAAATCATTTATGATTGGCATGTTTTGCCACTATAGCTGATGATTTATTAAGTTCCATTTTAATATATTGAGAAACTGACTCTAGTGGATATCACAATTTCTATTTGAAACTCTTAAAAAGGAAAGTAAAATTTCAAGGTAGGAATAACAAGTTGTCACTGTTGTATATATTTTTGCAAAAGTTAAACAGATAAAAGTGCTGAAAAGGGAATCAAAGAAAACAGATTCATCTAAAATACCAACTTTACGTAATAAGGATCAAAAAAACCTTTTTTGTTTATAGTTTTAGTAAGGAGTGCTGTTTGGAACCCTTGACTTGGTGTGTAAATTTAGTTATTACTAAAAGTTACATAAACATTCAAAATTCTGTAATCTTTGAACCTGAGAAACAGATTTATATTCTCTTAATGTAACATCTTAATAAAAGTTTTTAAAAGTTATTTTTTGGGGTAATTAATACTAACCCTCATTTGAACGTTGAGTGATTAGAATATACGATACCCAGGGAAAATATTATGTATGCTGTGTGTATTATGTAATGCTGGGCTCCTTTCTTCCTGTTTTCTCTTCAGTTTATTCTGCCATCTTTGCTTTCCACCAATAGTTCTATTTTTACAAAGATTTGTTCTCAGCTAGCTATCAGATAATATTGTTGAAATATCCCAACCCCTATCTCCCAGAGAGAGTCTTGAATTTATTTGGAAATCTTCAAGATCCTCAGTATCCAAATGTATACTCTCTAAAGGTATTCTTTTAGAAAAGGGTATGGTGCTCAGCACCCACTGAATTAAATCATAGAAATGGCCTTCTATGCTACACATTTGTAAGGTGAGCAACTTCATTAAATCAGTTTCTCATGTTATAAATAAAATTGATTATATTTTTAAATTCATGATGAAATTAGCACATACTTATTAAGGAAATTTGAAGAAATTAGCAAAATAGAGAGACTTTGAAACCATGTAAGAAGGTGTTTTCACCAAGTCTGTTCAATCGCTACATCATTTGGATTAAAGAGTTATCAAATACTGTTAGATATATCTTCAAAGTGATGCTTAGGCCTTATTTTTAGCTTAGAACTTGTTAAGAACTCCACAATCCACTTTGCAGAAAAGAGATGTTTTCTAGATAGAACAAGAAAGTCACTAATGGTCACTTTTTAGTTCACCGTAGAAAGTAGTGAGGTGGCCTTAAAGTTTTAAACTTTGGTGACTTACTGATGTCGCAGCTTGTTGAGTAGCACACCCTTTGCACATTCTTCAAATGACTGACTAAATTAGTTCCCTGTTTTTGGCTCCTAGTAACGTGCTGCATGTATTTATCCCACTGTCCCATGAGAGCCTCTGGAACTAAAATTATATTCCAATGCAGGAAGAAAGGAACTCTTAATTCTTTCATTTAAAGATTTCATTTAAATAAATAGAAAGGGAAAATCCCTTCTTGCTCCTGTGGTGTAGAAAGCTTAAAAGTTGACCTTCTCAAGAGTGATCTTGAAACAGTTATAGTTATTAGAGAAGTAATCAGTGATGGTTGTCGTTTATTTGTGCTGCCCATTCACAATATGTGCCCATTCATAATATGTTAATGTCAGAATTAAGAAACTAAACTTTGAATTGGTAGTTTATTATTTTAGGGCACAATAGAGTATGACATGGTTTTAAAAATGCAAGATAGGATATAGCAACTTTCTTGTTCTGTTCCTGGCTGTGCCATTGACTTGTTTTTGAATTATCTAGTCAGATCCATGTGCTTCCCAGTTGTACATTCAACTCCTTCAGGCATCTTAAATGTATGCTGAACTAGTGTACATATTGACACACACATATATCTATATATCTACATATCTATCTATATATCTATCTATATATATATATCAACATACATATATTGAATAGACAACATAATCTAAGAGAAACTCTAAATTACTGCTGATGAGTTAGGCAAGAGAGAAAAGAGCCCATACAAAAGCCACCTTCAGTTCTGTTTCATGATGATCATGAGGAATACTTTGCTAAAGAGTGTCCCGTATAAAACAAACCCCAGGTGCAAAGTATAAGTACTTATCTGTGGCTATATTTCCTTAGCCAAAGACTCACCATTTCCTCAATTAAGGTCCTGTTTCTATTTACTTTTTAGAATACAGGAAATGCACAAACTGAAAGGAAGAAGAACCTGCCAGGTGTAGAGTAGAAAATGCAGCAGCTGAAAATTCAGGGAATCCCAGAATCATTGTATGGTTAAAAAAAAATCCTTTTTATTAATATTACACGCACAACAAATGCTGACTAGAGAATCCTACAGATACACCATAAATCCTGTGTAGTTATGTGTATATTCACCTAAATTTTTAAAAATTTATTAGTCTTTAAATTATTCATGTTTTCTTAATTTAAACACTAAGTTATAGAAATTGCCCGACTGGTACATTCTAATAAAACTGCAACTTACATTAAGTCAGATAATTTTATTTGATGTTGTGTTGTCTTAGTCATGTATAATCAATGGTCATTCTTAGCTTTGGTTCAGAACTTTATAATTATAGAAGGAAAAGTTTCTAATTGTGTAATAAAACGAGATCCCAATGTCTAATAGCACCAAACATTTCTGAGCAAACAATTACACTTGATAAGCGTGAAATAAGATTTGGTTCCACACTAAATATTCTGGAACAGCATTTAAACATATCATGAAGGTCATTTAAGAGGATGGAAATTGAGGACAGCACTGAAGCAAATGTTTTGGCTTGACCTGCATGTTTATCATTTAGTAGTTTATATAAAACATATTATTACATATAATTTAACGTTAATACAGTCAAGGTTTTGGCAGCGTGTAATTAAGTTCTTATTTCTGGTCTTACTGGCTTGGTTTCTGATTTTAGGGTGGAGATGGCCATTTTAAGGGGAAGAATTGGAAGAGGAACAGTTTTTTTCTGGTAGTGTTCTTTCTTTTAAATCTTAAAAATACAAATTGGCAAGTCTCCTCTTATTTTATGTACAATAGAAATGTAACATGAGCTATTAAGACAACCATGCATCTTGCATTAGCATCATCCAACTTTGTTTCATTAGCAAACCATTCACTGCTTTGTATTCTTCTAAGAATTCTGTTAGTTTAGAATTATGAAGTTACCTCTCCGCCTGCTTCTTTACTTGCCATGGTTACTGAGTTACGTAACACATCCTGTCACACAACACACACTATACATACTCTGATATCTGCTCTTTGCTAATCACATAACCTGAAGTCTCTTTTATTTCCTAGAATGCTCAGGCTTCCTGAAGTGAGTTCTTAATGAAATATCTGACCCATTATTTTAAAAGCTCTTCTTACCCTTACATGATTAAAAGTATGTTCTTGGGGCACCTGGGTGACTCAGTCAGTTAAGCGTGCAATTTAGGCTCAGGTCATGATTTCACGGCTCATGAGTTCCAGCTCCACGTCAGTCTCTGTGCTAACAGCTCAGAGCCTGGAGCCTGCTTCGGATTCTGTCTCCCTCTCTCTCTACCCCTCCTCCGCTCATGCTCTGTCTCTGTCTCTCAAAAATAAATAAACATTAAAAAAAATTTTTTTTTAAAGTATGTTCTTAGCTGTAAAAACATTTAAAATATTTATAAAATATCTGAAGATTGTGTGATATTCAAGTGTTATTTAAATTCTTTTATTCTTTTTTGTTTTGTTTTCACTTAAATTCCACTTAGTTAATAATCCTTTTATTCTTTTGAACGACTCCCAGCACTCTTCCAGTTTCCTTGTTCCATCTGATAGTGCCTTTTATTTGGTACAGACTTTTTCTATTCCATAAGATATGTACAACCTGGAAGAGGTACACCACTAAAATTCTTGATTGTCCTGTTCTTAAAACAACAACAATAATAATAAAGTGGCATTATCTGGTATTTTACCAGGGCTTTACCTGATTTGGTACTTATTAAATAGACATGAGAAACAAAGGAAAACGTAATTTCTTTATTACAGTATTGTAATACTTTTTATCTTATTTTAATTATTTTTAAGTTTTTATTTTATTTTTAAGAGAGAGACAGAGAGAACGAGTGGGTGAGAGGCAAAGGGAGAGACAGAGAAAGAGAATCTCAAGCAGGTTCCATGAGCCGGCAGGGTTCGGACTCACGAACCATGGGATCATGACCTGAGCTGAAACCAAAAGTTGGACACTTGACTGACTGAGCCAACCAGGTGCCCCTCTTTTTATCTTAAGTTTGATTGGAATTAATACCTGAGGTTATTGTACATAATATACTTTTCTAATAGAATTCCTGTTACTTTTAGCAACTCATCTCCTCCAGGGAAATTAAGAGTTGTTCTCTGTAGTAGGTTCAACAGATATAAGTCTGCCTCTTACCTGTTGCATTTGGGTAT